TCAATTTAATAGACTTCCATAACTTGCTAGTGGGGAGCTCTGCCATCCATTTCTAATCAATTTATTATTCCCCTAAAAAATTTTGTCAGAAAACAGATAATTAGGTGTGTTTCTAATCAGGTGGAAAGATGAGGTGAACCTAAAAAACACATTCCACTTAATCCTGATAAGTATATAAATATGGAGTGGATAAGAACCTTTGGATTCAGTTCTCTAATGGTTGCATTGTCTCTTCCGTGCCAAAAGTAGGTACTTGCAATTTTTCCTGAGAATAAAACATCAAATTCTCAATACATGAGAAGCAGATTTTAAGCTGTTTGTCTTAAAAAAATGTTTCCGTAAGTTACGTGATAGCAACATGCCACGGCATGCCAATCCCAGGAAAAATGCAACTTGCTTGTAACACCCATACAGGCCATTAGGTTGGATGGTCAAACTTCGGCATTAGAAACTAGTAGAAAAGTTAAAACTTGTAACATCTACCTGACTGTGTAGTGTTAAACCAGTTAAACCATGCTTCAAGACGAATAAATGCTTGATCCAAAAAGATGGAGATCTCATTTCTTTCTGTGGCAGCAAACTGATTTTTCTTAATGCTGCACATCAAGTCTGCAAGGCAAATTTTAATTCGTAATACATTAGCCATTAAGTAGATCTTCCTCAGCAATAGGTTTATTTCCCTTGATAAAGTGTCTTCAAATAAGGCATGGGCAAGATGCTATAAGTTGATTACTAAATGCAAACGACTTAAACATCTCGTGTCAGTAGGGTTTAACTCCAGTCCTTATAAAATGGTTAGTCCTGGTTATATAGGGACAGAAGTAGAGAATACCATGTCTACGTACATGTTACAGGCTGCGAGTATGATATCTGGGGGAGATATGTTGGCCAACACATATTAAATCATGTTTAAAAAGAATAAGGTGCCTCATAGCCCAAGTATAACTGGGAGGAAATTCAACCCATAATTCTATAAATTTCCAATTAATTGCCGTAATTTATCGAACATACAACCAACAGAGTCCCGCTACAAATGAAATGGACAAAAATGTCCAAACAAATTAAATTCACATATCACGGACTTTATGCTCTTTCATACTGCTTTCCTTCGTTTTGGCAAGGGAGGAAATGATCAGAGAAATTTTTTTTTTGAGGTATTTCTAAGGCTGATATGATATTCCCAGTCAGAGTCCTCTTCAAAGCTAGCGTCAACATGAGATCGGTTCACCATGCCATATTTTATTTTCCATGCTATGGCAGAATGAGCCAATATGAACTTAAAGAATGCCATTTCTCTTTAACGTAAAGATGATGTAAAATCACTGGAAGAAACAGTGAATGCTGTTCCCTATGAGTAAAAAATAAACCTCTTAAAACCAAAAATAATGTTGGAGGATTTCCATCGGTTGGATACTGAAGAACGAATTCTGCCGGGACCTTACTGCAAATGAACATAAAGATGTCTTACAATGTGAAAGAGTGCAGACAAATTATTATGAGCTGAAAATATAACAGAAGCTAAGCTTTGTCACCTTAAAGCTTCAGCACCTAAAATTTGCTCACGTGGAATCCATCCTTCAATATTCATCAGATCTAACCAATGTCCAATTATATCCAAAGAAATATGAACATCCCAATGCCTATTTACGTGAAGAGAAAACAAAAGTTTATATGTATTAATTATTATGAAAAATTAAGTCACATTAAGAGGAGCTCGGGCAGTTTTAAGGGGAAGTTATTAACTTATTGCAGACGATAATAAAGTGAAAGACGATTAAAGCCAAAACCTGGGAAAAAAATTACATACTAAAGGCAACCCACCAGATTAGTAGTTGATGAAATCCTTCATCCCACAAAAATCCCCTAGGGAAAAAGGGTTGGCTTGGAACTGCTGTATATAGCTCAGCTGGCCAATATGAAATAAAATTATCACCAAGCTTTTGCTGCATGAGATAATAGACCACTGTATGACTTTGCTAGGCAATAGGCATCCTAATAGCAAGCATCATACAAACAGACTGAGCAATAATATGTAGAATCAGATTGTCAAAATCTTCAGTGACAATTGGAGATAATGCCAACTAATCAAGCTTGTTCGAAATAGTCGTAAATTTTAGAATTGCAAGATTGTTAAAATTTCTGGCCAAAAAGGTGCTAAGTAAGAGCTGAAAGGTATGCCCATTAAAAATGGAAGTGACTGATTTGAGTGGTGATAACACTGGTTGCATTAAGCTTTTAGTTAGCAACACGTCGCAGCAATCATCTTAAGGCAGAAGGGAAACTAATGGAGTACCCTACAACCTTCTAAGCATTTTGTAAAATCACTTCAGAGTCCAAAACATGCATTGCCACCAATTTTTCAGTGACTCATTAAAAAAAAAAAAAAAATAGAGAGTAAGCAGCCAAAAACAGAAATTCTAGCCAAGTTCAGAGAAGGAATACCAATCAGCCAACATTATGCTGCAAGCATAAAATTTCCACATGAACAAGAAACTCTTTTTTTTTTTTAAGTCACTCTCATTTAAGCACACAAGTTGATAAATTATGCCAGGAGTTAGAGCCATGCTGCTACTTTCGGAGGTCAAATGACTTTCCTGGGTGAAATTTTAATGGTTTTCTGCATTTTAGGTGTTATCAAATATCACTAGTTAATATTGAAATATGAGAATGATAACTTCTTGAAACTTTTAAAAGAAAAATTGCCATACAATATACTCTTCCGAAAACAGACAATCTAACATTTTAGCAGGTCAATCAGTCACAACTCACAATAGGACAGAGGCACAGAAGCAAGTCTTCTAGCAAATTACACACAATTCAGAATTAATTTTCTGCGGTGATCAAATCAGGACACAGTTAACCAAAACTGGCAGAGCAAATTCATTTGACTTTGAGTTGCAGCCACTTTTGGCTTCCAAAGATATTTACAAGACAAAACTGAAGCCAGAAGAGTTACATTAGAGGATGGTGGAGTTGAGATTTTTGATTGGCCATAAAAGTACCCAGTTCCACCCAACAAAGTCCCAAGAGCAGCCTTACTTACTGCCTTGGCTTCAGGATTTAGCTGAAAAACCGCATTAAATTTGATTTCATAACAAAAAAAGATAAAAATTGGTAGTAGGACTAGAAAGACAGAAAAGAACACCATAACGGTAATCATAAAAATAAGTATAGAACATAACAGTAATCATAAAAATAAGTAATCTTTCACAATGGTAGTAAGACTTGAAAGTAGATGCTTTAGATTAGACTTGCTTCCCAGTATAGATATTTCAAAAGAGACGCAGTCATGTTAAAACCCAGCAGGCATTCCAATCATCAATGTAAATATATATTTAACCAAATATTTTGCATCCAATAATTTGATATTTGTGACATGCAATACAATCAAATGTATATAGGTCATCTACATTCTATGATGTCGTCAATTAATAAAATAATGTGCATTGATAAGGTTGATGAATATTAGTAAAACCATCCAGCTAATCTATCACATGTAAGAAAAAAATTTACTTTTGCATAATAATAAAATTCAAATAAATCATGAAATATTCCAGAACAAATAGATGTTAACTAGTTCTCATTTGACTCACCACTCACCTCCTATTATTGGTTTCTTCAGCCACAAACATAGCATCTTATGGAGTTGATAAATGGTAAGGAAATTATGTGTCGTGAGATCAATGCTGATGGCAAGTTACTACAAAATTCTCCCTAATCAATCACTCAAATATAAAGTGCCATTGAATGATAATCAAATAAAATTCCATGCTGAAGCATAGAAGGATCAACTTATTACAATGGATTCAGCAGTAACGCACACATTAAAGGAAAATGGGATAATTTAAGAATATGGTTTGAGCAGAACTACATTTGAAACATATATACATAGATAAAACAAGCACAAAAATCATGTCTCGTTGCCTCTTTGCGATATCTTTAGATAGAATGGTACAACTTGTAATGGAACCCCGGCAGGCCAGGGTTTCAAGCCCTAGATTATACAAGACTACATTGTGAGCTAACATTTGTAACAGAAAATATCCATATTTCGAAGTACAGAAACATTTGAATTTAAGGATGATGCAGTAGAAGAAAAAGAACCTTCCACTAACGCATACCTCATCAGAGATATTAAAGGTCCTTTCGAATTTTTCTTCAAACTGGTTTTGCTTTTCACTTAGATGAGCAGTCAAAGAGCAACCTGGAATTATTGACAAACATTTTCATTAGGATTAGATGTAGTGAAGCCTGGGAACTTATAAATACTTGTTTTATAATTTGTATTTAGCATTCTTCATCTGATTTTAATACAATTAACTTCAACAGAGATGTTCTCCCAGCTTTGTCACCAAAGCAGCCTTTGGTTTGAGTTCTTATTCTTTTCCCGGGTCTCACTCCCATAGCAATTCTATTCCCTTTCCCAAGAATCAAATCCAATTAGTCTGGAGATTCTTGTTTGTTTTCATCAATTGTACTAAACAGACACAAACATACCTGTGAGGCTTCTAAAACGCTCTTCCATTCTTGAATTATGACCACTGGATCCTGATACAAAAACAACATCTGCTTTGAAGGAAATCCTAGCAGAGATCTGAACAATAAAAAACGAACTACTGAACAAGATAGATAAGAAGCAAAAAACTAAATTGGTAAGTTAAATTTTTGGTTAAATGATGTTTCGTGTGTTATAAAACACAAATAATTCTTGTTGGCAAACCTGAAGAACTAGAATGTTTGGAGAATGGTCAGATGTGTCTGAAAGCTGCAAACGATTAAATTTCCTAGCCTAAACAAAAAGAGGAAGAAAATAAATTAATGAATGAAGACGACGATTCAATATTTGTAAAGCCTGAAAGCCAAAACCACTAAGCTGAACTTGATAAAACAACGGCAATTAGTAATAGGATTGGTAAGGCAATGCTTATCTTATACACCTGGGTTCCAAGATTTGCTGTGACAAGTTCAGATAGACAGTGAATGTGAAGTGTCTTGAAACCAGAATAATGGATCTCATAATCATCCTGCAAAAAATTCATTAACCGTTAATAAATCTGAAATAGGTTGTCTGGTACAGAAGCAGACTTGCATAATGGTTTTTTAACTAAAAAAATTCATGACATGGCAGAGATGTTAATGAACAAACTTAATTATTTGTTTGAACGTAATACAACAAAAAGAAACAACATACACACTGAAGTTGGTTTACATAAATTTAATAGCACGAACCATGGACGCAGGATTGTCAAAATCTCTCCACAAAAGACCTTAAGAGAATTTGAGAAACAAACAGTTCTAATCATATACACTATTCAATATCTCAAAAAGCAGGTTCGTATGACATCCACACACAAGCACTCAAAATAATAATAATAATAATAATAATAATAAGGGTGGTCATTTTAAAAGAAATGGTCTATGAAAAGATAACTCTGACCATAAATGTAACTGCCAGTTACCAAAATCATTCCGCGAACCAAAGCCAGGATGGAGTCATCATGAATGTCCATGACACCTCCGCCCAAATCAACAGCAGTTCCACGCATCAGCCACATAAAAGAAGAGGTGCACAAGTTCTGACATTACTTCACTATGTCTGAATCATTCAACACATCATGACATCAAATCAGAATATTGTATATTAGAGGAAGACAACAAATGTATAGCATACACCACGGAGTGTCTACAGGACATCGACAAAAATCTAAGCACTTCTTTATAATATTAAGTAAATTTTAATGATTGAAAGTATTGCATGATGATAATACGATGCAACAAAAGAAAAATATTAAGTACTTTATTCACTTCTAATTAAAATTGAAGAGCTGAAGGCAAACATGGATATAAAACCCACTAACAGATATTAGTTGTTAAAATGAACACGCCGATGCATTACACGAGCTGCAGCAAGAACTAGAGTACCCTATATACAGGAATCATTACCAAATTCACCGAGTCGCCCTTGTTTGACATCCATTAAAATTTTAATACATTTTTCTCTCTTCTTTTCAACCACACATTTTTTAATAAAATAATATTATACGTAAATCAGAAAAAAAAAAAAAAAATGTGACTCACGCCCAAAATAGAATGCGATTTTCTAGTAGAAAAGAATCATGTTCAATAATAAAATTACATATTGCTTCATTTGACCCTTACTCTATTTCTATAACAAATAAATAATAATAATAAATTGATGCAACATAAAACGGGAGGCCCGTTGAAAGGAATTGATTGCTTTGACGATCATTGGTCAACATGAATGTTTAATAGCTATTACGTTGAATACAACGTTAATCAGACAAATAAAATGGTTACTTTGACGTCCGTCACATAATTTATCATACTATTAGTTGTATCAACTCTTGGTTCGACATGGCTCCATTAAGCCTTGATGTGGACTAGCAATAGTTATGTCCATGTTGTGAAGTAACAAGGCTTTAAAATCAGGCGCGGTTCCTAAATTTTACACCTTAACCCTAACCCATTTTTCACCATTAAATAAATTGTGATAAAAGTTAAATAGGAGGCCAACTGGAAGGAATGGACTTCAATGACGATTAGAACCCGTTAATCAAACTAATGTACTGACAAATTATGTAACTTTGATAAACTTTAGTTAACAAAATAAGTCAAAGTAAATACTACAGTATCAAATTGAATTTTCACTTAAAATTTAGTGACCATTTGTCAAATTAATTTGTTCATATCTAATGTCCTTGCAAATGTCCTACACATTTAGTTATAAATTAGCTAAGAAAGCCATAAAATTAGGGATGACAAAAATTTAATAACTATATTATTGTTTCACTTGAATGAACAGAAACAATAGAATAAATATACATATATATAAAAAAAAAAAAGGGGTAACCAGATGGGGCAACAGCCCTGCCCCCGACCCGTCCCACCCTGCCTTAAACGGGTAATGGAGCCGGAAAACCCGTAAAATTTATGAAAGGACCGAGGAGAAGACATTTCTTCTTCCAATTTTATTTTTATTTTTAAATATAATCTTAAAACAGTTTGATTTGTTTCCATGCCAAAGTGAAATTCAAAAACCGCATCTAAACCACATGAAAACAATAATTTCGACCACGCATGTACATGAAAAGCCTGAATACATACAAAATACAATCAATTTTATACAAAATATATCAAAAGTTGAGGTTCGACTCTGCCCAAATAAATAACACAAAAACTACAATCAATAAAATTTTGGTACTATATTTGCAAAACTACAACAGCTAACAAAATTGAAAGTTGCTTGAGCAGATGAATCAAACTAACCACGAGCGGACATTACATCCAACTGATCGGAATGATCACTGGAGGACGAGCCCACGGTCCGATAAACTTTGCTCATGTCTCTTGTGTAGTCGAGATTTTGATTTGGGGAAAGGCTGAGGTTCAACGTATATTTTTCTTTACCACTTACTTGATTCAGATGCAAGAATGCAAGCATGCTTATCGTAAATAAAGCAGCATTCCCCAGAGTCCCGCTCATACTATCCAATTTGAGGGTACTAGAAACAAAGTTAAAGGTCGAAATAAGGAAATTGACAAGAACATTCTACCTCTTATCTTCAGGTGATGCAAAGTTTCGACTGACAGGATAGGTTGATGGACCAAAGGGATTTTCCAGTGAAACAAATAGACTAGCCTTCCGTACATCGCTCACCAAAGCTCGTGCTTCTTCAATAACTTTGTACTTCTTACCATTATGTTCAGCTAATCTCATTGCAAAAGCAATACGACTTTGCTCCAGACGCGCAACTGCAGCATCTCTCTCTGCCTGCTGCTGAGTTTGTACAGACTGTGAATCATAACATCAAAATGACATGCTAATAATTAATTTTACACGATAAAAGGAAATATGAACACCAATACACCAAAAATTGACGTCAAACAACCACAGCATCATATATATAAAAACAACAATGATTGTCTACCATCTTGATGCCACTGATTTACATGTTATTTTCTTCTTTATTTCATCTTTTATCCAAC